GAATGTATGTCTAGATTTTTTCACGAATCTTCGTGATCAAAATGCTTTTATTGAGAAAATTACACTAACATAATGTCTTGCACATAATTTTGTGTACGTAGTGGTATCCGGTGAATTCTTACTGGTCACGTTGATCATACCTGAGCATTAATAATGTTCATGAAGAGCTGAGTAGCTTTTCCTGTGTAAACTAAGGTGGCACTTGATGAATAGAAACTCAATTTGACGGGAAGTTACCCTTTGCAACGGAATTGGTGGCTGAAAGGCAGGTCTTCGAGGCCTAATAAGACTAGAGATTGACCAGAGAACACGCTTACGAGAGAGACGCAGTCTGCGTCGTGGGTGCGAGCGGTCGCCTTTCAGCCGCCAATCCCGATGCAAAAGGTTATATAGAAGTTCAAAATTCTATTTTCAAAGGTGGACATTTACTTCAAATAGCGAGCTCAAATCATAAATTAGAAGAAAACTTTACGCTCAATTGCTAAAGCGCTCGTGCGCACCCACAATTTTTGGATTAACGCTTTTTTACATTTATGCCATTGCTAGGAAAACATAGATTTATGTTGCGTTATGATTGTCTCTTCCATGTCATATTGATGTTCTCCGTCTGATTTTTTTTTTGAGATAAACGTTCTCTTTCATTTGACATCATCTTGAATGCAATGTCAGAAAATCCTGATTACTTGGGCTGCTTATCACTGTTGGGATATGATTGAGTAGTTGCCACTAACCTCTTGTCAGGCCGTACTTTTCAAGCTGATAAGTCAGGGAACGGTAGCGTGCACGATCTGGGTGAGATTTCATGATTATTTGCTAGCAAAGCACAATACTGAGCTATCGAACTGTAGGAGAGTTCTATTTCTTGTCGTATTTTCTGTAGTTAACACTGGTTAATGAACAAAGCCAACTAATGTGTTTTCATGTATTGGCAGTGTCATATTAGTGTTCCTCGAATGTCTTTAATAAGAACAACGTCAATCTACTGTAATCCTTCATAAGAGAAGTATAGGAATTATAAACATTCCAATGGACCCATAAGCGAGGCGTATGCGAGCGCGGCTGGTGCGCGTGTAGGCCGCCAATACCTCCACCTTAGCGCTTCATCGCTAAAAGTTGCTCGGCGGGCGAATCACCTATACGAACATCTCACACCTCAACTTTTTTTCATAAGCAATTGATGAATTCGGATTTCAGCATGATACTGCGTCCACTGGTGATTTGGCTGGTTTTCGGAAACGTCATCCAGGATTTCCACCGCGTCTATTCGTACCACCCCATGAAGCGGTGTCGTTTGATGACGATCCGTCGACGAGCGCACCAGCGGCGCACATATTCCCGCCGATGAACACTCCAGTAAGGTTACATTTGACTAGGTAGGACAGACGTTTAATGCCTGAAGTAGAGTGATTAAGAGAATGTTTACTAAATCAAATTCCCACAATTATTTCCTCGTAGGGATGAACTAGGAAAAATTCATAAACGGTATGGTCATGA